CCTTCCTTATAGACACGGATGAACACATTTCTCATACCTAGGTTCATACAGTCCAAATGCCAAAGATGAATAGGACAATCATTTTTTTTTTATACTACACATGACTAATGTATGTAAGATCATCCAGTACAGGGAATTGATTGTAAGTTCGCTATAATAATCACAAAACTATATGACTTAGATGAAGTAGAAAATAATTCAAATAATTATATACTATAGACACAGCTCACATGTTAGCATCAAGAACATAGTGGTTTAGCATAGTCATCGAAGGAATATACAGACTACTCCTTCCTCATGTAATGTCTCCAGAACTTGTTATGGCATTTATGATACAGAAGGAGAAATAAAATATTACTTATTGTCAATTCATCAATCCTTCAATCTCAGTAAATCTGTAAATGCATTACCATGTGCAAAATCCATATTCTTTTAGAATATCCATATTTGTAAACAAGTTCCCAAGACTAAGGTCAAACTATAGATAAGAAAACTTAACTAAAACTAACAATATCCAATGAAATTAGCCAGCAGCTTTTACAGGGGATAAATAAAAAAAAATATTTGCTATTAATTCGACGGAAAGCTTGATACTATGTAAATAGACAAAGGCCGAATGTATTATTACCTTGCAGAAGATGTACACCTAAAAATCTATTACTACGAACCGATGATCACGAACCGGCTAGAGCCACTCGTGCTGATAACGTGTTGTAATCTTGTTGTTATATCTACATACATCACATATCAAAAGTAAGAATCGAACATGAAATGTAAAAGTAAATAAACAAGAAAAGAGATAGGGAGAAAGTAATCATCTCATTTTATTCATCTTCATTTCTCCTCGATCATTTTGTCTTCCATGGATTACATTATATAGATGTGGAAGAGAATACTAAAAGTCACAAGTAGGTGAAGAGTCTTATTCTAGTAATGTCCACATTCATTGTATTTATATTTACAACAGATAACATTTTGTAGTTTAAACATTTAATGGACTTCCAACGGTGTGGAAATGCGGACGAAATTGAAATTTATGTGCAATACTCCATATTTACGGACAAAGTTTGATTGTGAATGGATAAATTTTAGAAACATATCGCATTATATTTAAAGTAGAATGAGTTTAATATAAAAAGCCTCAAAATTCATCTAAGTTATTGTAATAATGAATGATGAAGATGATACACGTTGGATTTTTTATGGAATGAAATACGTTGGAGTAGGTATATGATAAGCCACAAATTTCATTTAAATATTGGAAAAGTACTACACCCTACTTTAAAATCGGAACTCTGCTATTTGGCTCGCGGTTCAACCGCGAGCCCTCAACTCGCAGAGAGGTGAGCATGGGTGCGGGCCCCACTCAACCGCGAGCCAAATAGCCTTTTTGTTAAAATCGAGGGCTTAAATAGAGAACCAAAAAATCTACTTAAATTCATTGAAGGCCGTGACGTCTTGACATGGGCTTTATAGAGAAAATGGTGTAAAGACGGCAGAACAGATATGGCCCATAAACAAATAGTAGGCCTAAACTTATAAAATAGAACAGATTGTGGCTCAATGGCCTCGTAACCCTCATCATGGTTGCACTTAATAATTTTATCCTCATTAGTGGTTTTTTATCTTAATTTTATTAGTGTCTTTAGCAGTAAATTAATACAAGTAAAAGTAAATAAAATATCCATAATGTAGAAAATCCAGTCGTGCCTTGTGATATTGCTGGATATTAGTAGCCCTACCGCTAGTCTTAAAATAGACATATCAAAAGAATTATGGTTCTATTCGGGTTTCAGATCCTCTACATTCTCGATCTTAAAGATTTCTTACAAGAGCTTTGCTACAGGGACCTAAAACATGGGACCAACATGGAGGACATGTGAGGTGTCCCCCTCCTATTACATAATGAACTAGCCATCATTAATGATGACCAACTAATTATGCAATAGGAAGGGGACACCTCACATGTCCCTCTTGTTGGTCCCATATTTTGGATCCTTGTGAAATTTTTCTTTATTATGTAAAAAAAGAAAGTAACATTCACGGGGTTTTAGGAGTGAACAAATATTATTAATGAGGCGTAGAAATTCTCGCTAATCAAGAATGTAAATAATCTCCGCTTTCCAAAAAAAAAAAGTCAAAGTATATGGAATAAAAAGAAACAAATTTAGTTTTTTGCAATGGGAACGCGTAGAGTCCTCTTGCCTCTTTTATGCTCGCTTCAGCTGGTCCCGGTCCTCAATACTCCTCAAGTGGTCACCAACAACATATAAACAGTTATACAGGTTGTACGCTCACTCGCCATAATTCCTCCCAAACCTAATTCCGCTTCCAACTCTGATCAAATATCCGCGAACGATGATTTTTTTTTTCCTTATAAATATGACAGCGGAGGTGACGTAGAGATCTTATAAATATATTTTTTTCCCCTTTAAAACACAGTGACTATAATGATGAAATGAATATTTAAAGTTTTAAACAATAGTCATAGCTGCATCCGGTGACGATCACTTTAATACCTCAGTCAGATTGAATAAATACATAAATAAATACACGAGTATAGCTCCCTTTGTATGTATTTAATCATTAACATGCGATATCATACGGCATAAATGCTAGAATAGCTATTTTCCGAAAATGAATTAAGGTAAGGACTCCTTCACCTTTTATTTTGTTTTGTTTTTTTTTTAATTACTTATTCGGATTATAAGCTGACCCAAATGATGAGTTGTAGTCCCAAACTCGGCCCACTAAAGCCCAAAATGTGTCAGGACTGGACTGGACTCCACCACTATTGCGAATGGAATACAGTTGTCACATTTATTTAAGAAAAGAGCATTATACCAGTTCTATGCTACTTATGAGCATTATACGATGGTTTGCCACAGTGACATCATTATCCATCATGCTTTCATCAATTATGTGAAGAAAGAATAAATAATTAAAAAATCCAGGAGATTTTATATTTATTTGGGGCGAAAACTTCTGAGGAGATCGCGTTTTGTCCTAATATTATTGGGTTTTTTTTAGGTAATTATTGTTGGAATATTTAATGTTCAGAAGTTATCATTTCCGCGGTTAGAGTCACTAATTAGTAGCCTAATTAGCAGCCTAATTCGGAAGTTATCATTTCCCTGCTCCTTAACCATGTTTGTAATTAGGCTACTAATTAGTTATGATTAATAACCCCGACTAATTAGTACCATATTTAACTTAAAGTTGGTTGATTTTTATAATTAGGGGCTGTTTGGTTCGTTTCCTTGATATAGAGAAATGCAATTCCATGTAAAGAAACATAAGTTTTGAGTTTTCCAAACTTTTCCAAGAAATAGATTGTTTTACTTTGGTTCGCACATAAAAAATGGTGGGAAACCAATGTATTTATTTTTCTTGTGTTTGGTTCGCATAGAAAAAAAAAGAAAAACTTTTGTAAACAAAACAGAGAAGGAAAAAAATCTGACGTGGCAGAGCTTTCATCAATTTTACTTGGTTGGGGAAGGAAATCGGAGAGGGAAAAAAATCTTAGTTGGCGGTGATTTCAACAGAGTTTTCCCTCTTCCATTCGAGCGAACCAAAGCGGCATAAAGAAATGGACGGAAACAAAAAAGTTGACGCGGAGGGTTAAAAATCTGATGTGGATGAGTTTTCTGAGTTTTCCATCCCTTATAATAGCGAACCAAACAGCCCCATAAAAGTGAATGTGATCTATTTCTTAAAAAAAATTCTGTTGAGGCGATATTAAAATTTTCTTCATAAATCTAAACTTGATTATATAGATGAATAGCATTGATTTCTTTAGCGGGTTTCATAATTAATTTATTTTTAAATTAATGCATATAAGAATATCATTCATGAGTTTCACAAAGGTTAGTTGTAAGGTTTCTCCACAATCAAAGATGTAGAAAGTCTCGACCAGACTTTTGCCTATAACCAAAATTCTATCCTTTTTTTTTTGTTTAAACCTGCTCACTACTGAAATTATTCTTAAAACCAAACCATCATGTTGACTTATATCCGGGGCAAGCTTGTATACTCAATTATTTGGATTCGGATCCTCTCCACTACAAAAAAAATAGTGGAGGGACCACTACATAATCACAGTCATTGATTATCTAGTTGATGGTTATGATTTTTTCTTTTAGTGCAAATTAGGAATGAGTGCAATACACGGGGGTATGGTAAGTGTTAGATTTAGATTGTATCATAACCGCCTACTAAATAATCAATGCTTGAGATTAAAAGCAGTGGTCTCTCCACTACTTTTTTGTAGTGGAGAGGATCCAAATCCCAATTATTTTTCCACAGATTTCTATAGTTTGCTCTAAGTTGTTATAACTTACCATAAATTATTGTATAAAAAACTGTTGAAATACACAACGGTTTTGAAAATAATTAATTAAAAGCGTTTGACAACCGTAGCGTTTTTGTCGTTTCTGTTTTTATTTTTAACAAAAACAATAAAACGCGTTTGGCAACCGGGGCGTTTTTTTGACTTGATCCTTTACAAAATATAAAAAATAAACAATTTTCTCAAAACACCAAAAATGTGTTTTGAGATTTTGTTTTTTCATCTAAGTCGCCGCCCGCCGCCGCGCTCGCCCGTCGCCGCCGCCTGCCCGTCGCTCCGCCCGCCGTCCACCCATTGCCCGCTGCTCCGCCGCCCATCCGCCCCGCCGCTCCGGCCACCCCGTCAGCCGCCGGACGGGTCGATCGTCTGCCCGTCCGCCCCGTCGGCCGCCACCGCCGCTTTATAAATAATAACTATAAATGGTGTTTTCAAAACATATTGAAAAAAATACCATGGCATGGTGTTTTTCTAAAAAACACAACGAAAACAAACACATCGAAATTACCAAACACACCCAAGTGAGTAATATATTTTGAGATCAAGAGTGATTGGATAGGGTGTGTGTTTAATTACATAAGAGTGGATTTTTTTTGGGTTTCTATGCAAAAACACAAATACAACCCCCACTATATAACACCAGTACTCGCATCACCACTCGATATGCATACACTAACTTTATGGCTCTCAGCCTCCACTACTACTTCATTCTCTTCTTCCTCCTCACAATCTCCAAATCAAATTCAAACCCTTCACTTCAAAACGACTCAAATGCTGATGGTTTCAAGAAATGGGTCTCATGGAACGTTCAAACCTACAAGAGAAGTAGCTCATTCGAGGCAAACTTGGGCTCAAACCGGCTCGCCGACGGGCCCGGCCCACTGGATCCTAAGCTCGCGAAGGCTGAGGCCGCAAAGGTGAAGTACATTGTGAGCCAAGATGGTGGTGGAGATTATAAGAGCATAAGGGAAGCTGTAGAGAGTATTCCCTTAAAGAATACTAGGAGAGTCATCTTGGATATCAAGCCTGGGATTTATAGGTATATTTTGATTATCTTAAAATCTCTTCTACATCATCAAATTAAAATCTATTTTTAGTGACTTGCTTGATGAAATTTGAATATGAATTGATCTTATAGGTTAGGAAAGCAAAATCACTTCATATATACATATTGAGCTATATATATATATANATAAATCAAATAGTCTTATTGGTGCTTGGATTAGGTTTGATTTGTTTCTTCATTCGAGATTAGATTCGTTTTGAGTTTTCGGTATTTTATTTTCTCAATTCTTGATCTCACCCTTTTTTTGTGGAAAAAGGAAGGTAGTTGGATTGCGAAGTGGCCCTCCCTTTTGATTATGTTGTTTGAAAACGTCAGATGAGGTACGCAGGCACCAGCGACAAGTGGACTGTTGCATGCTTTGCTTTACGCATGCCGGCACGTGCCTTTTAGCCAGCTTTCTGAAACTTTTCAGATGATTAGGGCCCTTTTTGAAACTAAAGGGTTAATTGCGGATAAACCCTGTAGTATATCACCCATTGCGGATAAATCCTTTGTTTGTGCATATCAACTCTTTGTAGTATTTCCCCACGTACGAATTGGCCCTCTTCGGTGGGGTTTTTTTTTTTTTTTTTTGACTCTTTTAAGAGTTTAAAAAGAATGCAATTGGAGGTATATTCGCATCCATAGAAATTCTTGGGGTCTATCTGTCTCTACAAAATGTTTTCTTTGCTCTTTTAAGAGTAAAAAAATCCAGCCTGGGGATCCATCTATTTACAAATTAGAACTATTTGGCATCGGTTAATGTCAGTTATCTAACAGAGGTTTATTTGTGGATTAAAGTGGAGTTAGGGTCCTCAAACTCCTTCAGATGTCTAGCTTTGTAGATCGCTATTCTTCCATGCACACGAAGAACTCGTAAGAGGCCAGAGTTGGGTTCTCCGGTTGTTCGCCTGACGATCAAGTCAGTATATGAACTTGAGTGGGAAAATATGAGATGATGAGAAGAATCTCAAAGTTGTGTGGAAGATCCAGAAAGTTACCTTGACCTGCATGTCTTTCTTTTATAAAGGATCAGAATAAGTAACTTGAGCCGAGTCTAGGAAGGCAGCTAACTTGGCAGACAGCTGGCAGGTGTCGGCTACTGGCGAAGATGAGTCATTCAGGTGGTTAGTATCAAGCGACAGCAGGTACGTACTTGGTGCTGATGGAGCCTGATAAGTCATAAAGATTATTGGGGCTGGAGCAATGATGATTTTTAACCATGCATTTAATGTGATGGTGATTGGCTATTGGCCGGGGGCTCGAGGAAGACCGCTTTTTGACTCAGCCTGGCGAGAAGGAATGATTTAGCCTGGCAAGAAGGGACAAGTCGTGCTACCTGTCGAGAAGGGACAATTCCTTGCGAGAAGGGTGAGAAGTACCGTCTCTTTAGTCGTCTGGTGGAGGGCCGACTAACACTATCTTTTTACTTGGCTATGTGAGTTGCCGGTAGAGATAATGGGCCGAGTGTGGAGGATTATGGGTTCGATTTGATTGGTAGGTCGGCATGTACCACTTTTCCAGTTGGCCATGTAAGTTGTCGGCTTATGGAGTCCGCCGAAGTAGTAGTTCGAGTTGTTTAGGCTTTGATCATGTCTGATCTGACGTGGACTGTGATGCATATTGACAACTCAAGAAAGATTAACACTTAACTATTTGCAGGCTATAACAACATCTATCTGCGATTGAGTGATACGATATAGGGTCTATCCGCAATTAATCAATGAAATAATAATGGATTAATCCTAGTCTGCATGATCGTATCAGAACTTAACTAGGCTTTGCTGAGGGCCGACTAACACTATCTTTTTACTTGGCTATGTGAGTTGCCGGTAGAGATAATGGGCCGAGTGTGGAGGATTATGGGTTCGATTTGATTGGTAGGTCGGCATGTACCACTTTTCCAGTTGGCCATGTAAGTTGTCGGCTTATGGAGTCCGCCGAAGTAGTAGTTCGAGTTGTTTAGGCTTTGATCATGTCTGATCTGACGTGGACTGTGATGCATATTGACAACTCAAGAAAGATTAACACTTAACTATTTGCAGGCTATAACAACATCTATCTGCGATTGAGTGATACGATATAGGGTCTATCCGCAATTAATCAATGAAATAATAATGGATTAATCCTAGTCTGCATGATCGTATCAGAACTTAACTAGGCTTTGCTAAGTTTTCAGAAAATATCAAGGGGAAGATTGTTTCAAGCTTTGGATCTAGTACTAATCTGGATTAGACTAGTTCTAAATTAGTCCTCAACTTGGTAAAATGAGCCTATGTTAAATGAAGAATTTAAAGGTTTACTACCATTTTGATTCATGTTAAATAACAATAAAAATTAGAAAATTGGAATTTCATTTTTTATTCAAAATAAACCATAATTTTTCAGTAAGTAAAAATGCTTTTGATTGTAAATTAAGTAAAAACGATTTTGATTGTAAATTATGAACTATTTAATGCATACACAACAAATGAGGTAGATTGCCCTAACCTAATTAGATTAACTATCTGATAATTCTAAGAGAACACTTTTCTTGTCTTGATAGTAGACCAACTGGTAAAAATTCTTAGAATTAAAATACGATGGAAAGCAGAAAAAAGGAGGGGGCAAAAGAAAAGACGAAAAAAAAAGCAATTGTTTTGAATATATGTGCAATTTTCTTATTTTGTAGGGAGAAAATAGTGATTCCAAAATCAATGTCCTTCATCACTTTCTTGGGCCGTTCCGATAGCCCAGCAGTTATAACAGGTAACGACACTGCAGCAACAATTGGACCCGATGGAAAGCCCATGAATACCTTCCACAGCCCAACTGTGGCCATCAATTCCAACTATTTTGTTGCCGCCAACATCAGATTTGAGGTATTCATTCTTTCCTCAAAACCTGCTAAAAGTTTTGATGGCAAAATTCACAAAAGTTACGGGGTTTCATATATACATAAGTAGCATATTTTTTATTAAATAAAATTGTTATGAATATTTTTCACCATGTTCAATGTTAGTTAAGATAAGTACTGACCAGTTTTAAGAAAATGTTGTCCTTACGCATTTTATATCTTTCATATTATCCTTATAAACTTTGTGCTTCTAAAATATACAAATAAGAAGAAAGTCATTTATCTTTTATTCAAGTAATTGACGCTATTAGCAACAGTTTCCCAATAGTTCTCTATCAAGAAAAACTTTATGGTGGTTTGGCCGGCTACAAAATATAGAAACTAGACCGAAATCAATCGATAAATTTATAACTTGCCAATAATTTAATAGTTTAAGCTTTTGGCTGTAAAGTAAAAAAAATTCCGAAGCCACCTTTCCAAAAGCAGCTTCTAGTGCCAGTCTCGGTGTTTTTCTTCTCTCTTCTCGTAGAACTTCATTTTGATGTTTTAAGCTTTCAATGATGTCTCATCAGAACTTATTAGTCTTTTTTTGTTTTATATTTTGGAGGAGAGTTGGAAACAAAATAGATTTTCTCTATCCGGTGACGACAAGGTCCGCTCCCGGATGTTTACATCTCCTCTGGTTCCTACTCTCTTTCAGTTCTTTTAGATTGCTCGTGTAAATATTTACCTAAAATCTATTTTATATAATATATATCATGAACAGGGTTCCTCACCCTGTTTATAATCTTCAAAAAAAAAAATGAGAGATGCACTTTTGTAATTAATTACAGAACACAGCTCCATACCCTGACGTCGGGCAGGCCGGAGGGCAGGCGGTGGCGCTGCGGATCTCCGGCGACAAGGCGGCCTTCTACAACTGCAGCTTCTATGGGACCCAGGACACTCTCTATGACCACAAGGGACTCCACTACTTCAAAAACTGTTTCATCCAAGGATCTGTGGACTTTATTTTTGGATATGGGAGGTCTCTTTATGAAGTAAGCGCATTTTCTCGTTATAAAACCCCAGTGGACGCACTTTACTGGAGAAAATCATAATAGGCTTTCAAATCAACATGAAAATGACACGTACCATAAAATAACTAAGTATAAGGAATTTTTGTTCATGTTTACGAAAATATTGCGGAGTCTGAGGATATTTTTGAAATATCATTACTCAGATACTTTTTTTCCTAGTTTGAAAGTTTATGGTAACTTTTCCCGTATAAAAATAGTTTATGTTAATTACTCTTGTGCAAAATCCCTAATAGTTCATTATAGTTTGTGATATTTGCCGTTGTTTGAATAATCCTCTTAATTGTTTAGTGTTTTGTATATATGATCCCAGAACTGCTATCTGAACTCCATAGCGAAGAGGGTAGCATCACTCACGGCACAGAAGAGAACGATAGCAACGATGGAGAGTGGATTCTCCTTCACAAAGAGCACCGTTAATGGAAGTGGCTTAGTCTATTTGGGGAGAGCATGGGGAGATCACTCGAGGGTAGTGTTCTCCTACACTTTCATGGAGAAGGTTGTCATCTCCGGAGGATGGAGCAATTGGCATATCCAACTGCCTGAGGAGTAAGCTACATTTTATTTCAGAAAATAACAAATAACAGTAACAAGAGTATAAATTCTATCAGAACACACAAAATAAAAAACCGGGGTGTTTGGTGTCATTCGTGAAGAGGATGGGGATCGACAATTTAGAAAATTTACATGTCCATTTTAGAACTCCGCCAGTGTTGTGTTTATTGTTAGTACGTACTGCATGTCCCAAGGCAGGATAAAGGAGAAGGATTGCGTTGGATAGCCGACAGCTAGCGTAAAACATAGTCGGATCCACATGAAAAATAAATCATATAATATATTTGTTGGGGCGTCCCCACCGCGACACGTTGCATCAATGTCACCTTGATGCAATGATAAGTAAGTAAGGGGTGGTTGCTAGGACGTCCCCCGGAAGCGATGCATTACTTAGATGTCACCCCGGTGTAATAACAAGTAAGCAAGCGTGTTCTAAGAATCTACACTCCTCTAATAGGTTACCAAATAATATTAGGTATAGACTAGACCTGTCTAAGAGGGAAAATAGTAGAAGACTTTTACAGAAAACTAGAATTAGATTAGCTATTTAAAATATAGGTACACTTACCGAAAATATTATAAAATTAGTAGATGTCATACTTAGAAGAAAGATAAATATAATTTGTTTACAAGAAACTAAATGAATATGTGAAAAATCTAGAGAAATTAAAAAGAATAGATATAAATTTTGGTACACGGGAAAAGAGAAGAATATGAATGGAGTGGGAGTTCTTGTAGATAATATAATAAAAGAAAGTGTTGTAGAGGTAAAAAGAGCTGAAGATAGAATAATACTAATAAAAGTTATCTTAGGTTTAGAAGTTATTAATATTATTAGTACTTACACACTACAAATAGGCTTGCCCGATAGTACTAAAAAGGGAATTTTGGGATAGATCAGATGAATTAGTATAAGTAATCTTATTTACAGAGAAATTATTTATAGGAGGGGATCTTAATGGGCATGTTGATAAGGATAATAACAGATATGAGAGGATACATGATGGTTTCGGGTATGGAGATAATAACGATATGAGTAAATCAATTTTAGAGTTTGTAATATCGTATGATTTGATATAGTAAATACACTATTTAGAAAAAGGAATGAACACTTAATAACCGTTAAAGTGGTTTAATAATAGTCAAATAGACTTTTTTCTTACTAGAAAGATGGATATGTTAATATGCAAAGATTATAAAGTTATACCAGGAAAGAGTTTAAGTACACAACATAGATTGGTGGTTTTAAACATATCAATTAAGAAGTGGAGTAGAAAAACTAATGTGAATAAAAGACTAAGAACTTAATGGTAGAATTTCAAAGGAGAGAATTTAATACATTTTAAAGAAAAGATAATGAAAGAAGATATATGAGAACATAGATAATTAGACTAATATTATGTGGAATAGCATGTTTGCTTATATTAGAAAAGTGGGTAAAGATATACTAGGAGAATCTAAAGGTTATAGATTAGACGGTAATAAGAATTGGTGCTGGAATGAGAGTGTGCAAAAAGGTTATTAAAGAGAAGAAAATTTTATATGAAGAGTGGCAAAAGTGTAGGAGTAGGAAAACTTAAAAATTATAAACTAAGCAAGGTAAGGAGCTCGCAAAAGACGCGGTTAGGGAGAATAAATACAAGGCTTATGAACAAATTTTATAAAATAGAGTTAGAATCTGAAGGATGGGGCGGGGCCGGGGCCGGAGGTGAGCGCATCAAAGCAATTAAAGTGGACCGACAGGGAAATAAAAGAGAGGTAGAGGAGTTACCTTTGTTAATTATTTAATGATAACCAAACAAGTGAGCAAAATAGAGATTTTAACCATATAATGAATGATAAAAACTATAGATAATATTGTCAAAAAATTAGGATTCACGAGATTAAATATTCTCTAACGAAAATAAAAGTGCAAGAGTCGTAGGACCTGATGATATCCCTATTGAAGTTTAGAAATATCTTGGAGATATAGGCTTAGGATAGTTAACTAAACTATTTAATAAGATTATCGAGAAGAAAAGAATGTCAGATGAGTGGAGGATTAGTATTTTGATACCTATATACAAGAATAAAGGAGATATACAAAGTTGTTCAAATTATCAATGTATAAAACTCATGAGTCATACTATGAAACTTTGGGAGAGTGTAATTGAGCAAAGACTAAGAAATAAGACATGTATATCTAAAAATCAATTTGATTTTATGCTTGAGAGGTCAACTATGGAACCTATACATATTTTGAGACGGTGGATAGAGAGATATAGAGAGAAGAGAAATGATCTACATATAGTTTTTATCGATATAGAAAAAGCTTATAATAGTGTCTAGAAATGTAATGTGGTGGATGTTAGAAAAGAAATATTTATCTAGTATATATATTGATGTGATTAAAAATATGTATGATAGAGTAACAACTAGAGTAAAAATTAATAAAGGAGAGACTAAACTATTTTCTATTACCATAGATTTACACCAATGGTCAGTTTTAAATCCTTATCTTTTTGCATTAGTTATGAGCCAACTTACTAAGTATATTCAGGATGAAATCCCATGGTATATGTTATTTACTGATGATATAGTGTTAGTTGATGAAACTAGAAGAGACATTATTTCTAAAATAGAAATATGGAGATAAGCTCTTGAATCTAAATATTTTAGAATTAATAGAATAAAAACAGAATATATGGAGTGCATTTTTAGTAAAACTAGGAAAGAAAGAGAACCTATGGTATATATTGATGGCCAAGAAATATCTAAAACTAATCATTTTCGCTATTTAGGATCAATTATTAGGCATGATGGTGAGATAGAGGATGATGTTGTGCATCGAATCAAATCAGGATGATTGAATTGGAGGAGTGCTTCGAGAGTCTTATGTGATCGTAGAATACTAATAAAACTAAAGAAAAAAAATTCTATAGGACAATTATAAGACCAACTGTGCTTTATGGGTTAGAGCGTTGGGCCATTAAAAAATAACATGTTCTAAAAAAGGAGTGTAGCGGAAAGAAGAATGTTGCGATAGTCTCATGAATATACATTAAAAGATAGGATAAGAAATAAGTGTATCCGTAGTAAAGTAGAGGTTGCTCCTATTGAGGATAAAATGAGAGAGAATGGATTAGTGTGGTTTGGTCATGTACAACAGAGACTCCTTAGTACACCAATTAGAAAAACGATAATATTAGAGTTAATAGGGCTAGGAGATTTAGAGGTAAAGCTAGAATGACTTGGTTAAGAAGGATATGATTAGAACTAACTTAACAGAGGAGATGACCCCTAACACCCATAACAGAATGGAAGGAAAAAATAAGATTCATGTAGCTGACCCCAAACATTTGTGATATAGGCTTGATGGTGGTGGTGGTTGTTGTTACATGTCCATTTTATGACACAGAACAATCTACTCGTAGAGGGCTTGGACTCTATTCTTCCGATTGGTTTTCCTGCATCATGTTCTTCTTCATTGTTTATAACTAAGTATTTCTAATACGCTTATATAGCGACTTTCGTTATATATGTCAAAACTATCATAGTCGATTCTCTCTAATTTAATCCTAAACATGAGCATTTCTTATTTTATTTTTTATACATCTTAACATCCTTGTTTCTTCAAAACCGATCGTATTCGAGATAAAAAATTGACCTAAAAGCTTAATTGAGCTCAGAATTGATTTATAATATATATATTTTTCTTGTAGGAGTGGCGTGTATTATGGTGAGTATCAATGTAGTGGGCCGGGTGCAAATTGGACGGGAAGGGTCCATTGGGCTCATCTTCTGACCGATGAGGAAGCCCAACCTTTCCTCGGAACGTATTATGTTGGAGGAGAAACATGGCTCTTGGGCCCACCAGTGGCTCCTTAGATTATTATTATTATTATTATTATTATCAGAGCTCCTTATTTGTTACAGTTGCATTTAACTGCTAAGTTGTGCTAATGTCACAGAGACATGTTTTGAGTTGTTGGAATCAAAAGGAGACCGTAAATTGGAGGCTTAATATAAAAAAGGTGTGTTCTTAATGTGGTATCTTTTTATGACATTAGGCTGCGTTTGGCAAGGGGACAAATGGGAGGTTAAGTGGATTTAACCATTTATTAGCCTGCCAAACAGAAAAAACAGAGCAAGGGTTAACAAACCTGCACGTGAGCCCTTTATCCCCTTTAACCCATCAAAATAAAGGATAAGTAGTCCTCGTAAGAAGGCGGAACAAGCTTTGTTCCGCCTTCTCACGCGATGGTAGGCAGCAGAATTTTGGGCAAGGGTTAACAAATCCTGCTGCTTTCGCAGCTGAAGCTCTCTCATGGAGTCAGTTCTCCTAGGTCCTTCTTTCTTCCTCCAACTCCCAAAACTCCTCCTCCATGACAAGCCTCAGCCCTCTAATCCCCCCTCCACAATCTGTTGGGGGCTGAGGAAATCATCAAGAGAACCTCTCTGGCGACGAAAAGTCATGTCCACAGAGGCAATCCAAGCCATTCAAGCTCTCAAGATTGCCAAATCCTCACAATCTAAGGACCCATCATCATCCTCTTTTCCTTCGTCGAGATTGGGTGAAGTGTTTAGTTACAGGATTGGGAGGTTGATCAAGGGGGATTTGGTGGCTGTGCTTAGGGAGCTGCAGAGGCAGAATGAGTGGGAGATTGCGCTTCAGATTTTGTTCTTTCTCTTAAAAAGATTTGATTTTGACTTAGGGGCTGTTTGGTTGTATGTTTTTACCATGTAAAAGGATGAAAAGTGTAAAAAAGTGGGTCCCAATGTCAGCTTTCATCACTTTCAATTGTTTGTTTGTAGTTGTGAAAATAGTGTAAAGTGATTTCATATGCTGATGTGGCTTTTTAAATGATTTCATAAAAAAAAAGACATGATTTTAGGAGAAAGCTGACATTGGAAGTTAGGAAAAAATAATAAAAAATAATTCCAACCAATATGATCATTTGAGTAGGGACCACTTTTTACACTTTCCAAACAAACAATTAAAGTTACATTTGCAAACCAAACAAGCAATTTATGATTCCAATGGAATAAAAAACAAACAAAGAAAAGTATAAAAATGAAATTGATGAGGTGGACAACAACTTTCCAAGTTGTGTCATAAATACACAAATTTACCAACAACAACCAAACAGCCCCTTATGGGTTGCTATCAATTTAATGATATCTGTCGATTTTGATGATATGAGTTTTATTGGAATGAGGGGTGGCCACAGTTCATAGAGAGAACCTTATTGGGTAGATTTGTAATTAGTGAATTTTTGAGGTGAAGTTGTGCTTATACAACTCGGCTCTTGATGAATGAAGAACTTCAGCTAGTTACTTTCAAGTTATATTTTGTTGGTACATTTGATTTTATGCTTGAAGAAATAGCTCAGTAGATCTTGGTGGCGGTCACATTGTTAAGAACTTTTTATCGCAATGTTTTGTCTTTTGGCTCATGATGCATTCCAACAATATTTGTTTCAGTACTCCCAAAAGATTGGTATATGCTTCTTTCCCCATAGTGGGTACCGAATTTTCTCATTTGGTGGAACAAAAGTTCTAGGCTCATATGAACATTAATCTCCTTAGCCATTCTTCATTTGCCAAACATAAAAGACTTAACCCCTTGGCTTAATTATCTAATCCAAACGGAAGTAGAATATTTTTAATCCTTCACAATGGATTAACTAAGTTAACATTTCTCTTTAATCCTTCTTCCTTAACCCTTTGCCAAACCTTATTTTGGCAAAAACCAAGATGTTGACTTAATTAATCTGATATAGTTAGGCTACTTTCTGGCCTTAAACTGGCTTCCACCCTTTTTCTAGTCCAAAAACTAAATTGGCTGGGAGAAAAATTGTTGATGAGGGGAGTTGTGCGGCAAACTTACCCTAATTAATGTTTAGGCATAATACGGCTTATGATCAATTGTTTGATAGAGAAATTTTGAAGGACCATGACAAGATTCATATAGCCTCATGTAGATTGATAATATTTTAGAAAAGGATTTTTAATGAAGAAATACATGAAACAGCAAAGAAATCAACCAGGTAGACTGACGGTCGACCGCCGCGGTCGACCGTGAACGTGCACGAAGGCTAGTAGGAGTCGGAGCTAGTGGCGGTCGATCGCCGCGGTCGACCGCGAATGACTGTAAAAGATTTAGCTCTCGGGTTTGTGATTCGGTCGACCGCCGCGGTCGACCGTGAGACCTGCGCGGTCGACCGTGAGACCTGCGCGGTCGACCGCCGCGGTCAACCGTCGATGTTCTGGGCTGGGCTTTCTGGATTTTGACCCGTTTCGTTTCTGAGTTATATATAACTCAAAACCTGATTGTTTAGGGTAATCTCAAGGACGATTTTGAGCAGCCTTGAAGAGAGAATTGTTGCATCCAATTGTGGGAGAGTTGTGAGAGATCAAGAGCTTTGTTTTAGGGTTTGATCTGAGAGATTTGTAACTCTACTTATATTCTCTGATTTCTTATAGTAAGAACTCTCCCCTCTTGCCCCGTGGACGTAGGCAACTTGCCGAACCACGTAAATCTCTTGTGTTATTTGGTAATTGTGCTTGTTTATTTGGTTGTGATCTCTCTTGTTTGGATTGTGTGATTCGACCGCTTCCGCTCTCTTGTTTTGATTGTGTGATTCGACCGCTTCCGCGCCGCGCACAACATTTAATGCAGGCAATGTGTTACAATTATAAAACCAAGTTTATTTTCTAGCAAAACCATCATTTTTAAGGATCAAAATCTTCGAGTAACAAGTAATATGTATACATAGTACGTACGCCATTATTTAACATGTCTCTGACAGTGGATGAGATTTAACTCGGTGACAAAAAATGTATATCAAGTTGTAAAATGATCTACAAGCTTTTCATAAGAAAAGTTAAAAAAATGACTAGCAAAATGAATTTTTTTTTCAAGAATTATCATAAACAATGAACAAAAAGGTCAGTCATCTTTTAAAATAGGTTATTTTCAAACGAAAAGATTGGTCCATAAAAACTTGTACAATGAAATCTTATTTTTCAGAGTTTAGGTAACAAAAAGGATAATTATAAATGACACATTATGATATATTTTCTTATTTCTTAATTTACTTTATTTTGTGTTGAGCTTGTTTTTGTTGTGCGAGATATGGATATGACTATTAGATAAATTTCTTAAATTAAAGCTAATTATATGTCTAACTATCATCATCCCAATGCCATCCTAATGTTTTCTTAGTTTCCTCCAACATTGCATGATAACATAATGTTCATAAAATAGCATACTAGTAAACTACTGTGACCAAAATAAATAAATAAATAAAAATAAAAATAAAAATAAAATGAAAGAGAATTGACTTCATTTTATTTTAATTTGCTAAAAAGACAAATATTTAGATCTTTGACAACTTGATACTTAAAACAAGTCGAAAACTCACATCTAATCAATGAAAGCATTTTTTAGCCTTCACATGTAAAAGATTTGATAACAACTTTTCATGCAAACATGATCGAGATTAGTGCGTTTACTCCAAGAAGTTCAACACTTTGTTGAATGCACAGCTTTAATAAATTGGGAGACTTACACTGTATTTAGAAAGAAAGCACGCGAATTATGATTTAATCTTACCATCGAAAGAAAGCTAATTAAAGAACTGATGACTTTAAATGAGTTATAAAATTTTCAGAACTGAAGACTGAAGTGAGGTAAGAAGTCTAGGAGGAGAGGCAGAAGAAGGGTAAATTTTCGGCTCCGCAAAACTAGCATATGAATTTTTGGATGTTGTGCGCATAACTATTATGACCAGGAGCTTCTAGCTCCTAAAATAACAAATTTTATTTGTCTCACCCCTAAGATTTTTTCAAGACCCTAAGAAACCCCTCAATCAACTTTGTAATGCTTCTAACACCTAATTTTAGTGTCACCTAAGCAAATGTTTTCCATTCCCCACTTCACCCCTAATTATAGTCCATGTGGTCTCTCTCTCTCTCTCTCTCTCTCTCTCTCTCTCTCTCTCTCTCTCTCTCTCTCTCATCATATCACCATCATCCCCCTCCTCTCTTCTCTTTTCTCTCTCCCCACTCCGTATCTATTACTAACAATTTCTCCTTTCTACTCTTTTTTCTCTCGCCATTCCACAGCCTTTGCACCATCACTTTCCCCTCTCCCACGACCGTAAACAAACTCAATGCTCTCATCCACTCTGACCCTCATCTCCGATCGGCGACGGTGGGGCTCACCCCTCTATCAAACCTCCCATGGCCTCCTACACCATCACCCTCCCTTCCTCCAATGACGATCTCCCTTTTGATTTCAAAGTCTTGGCATCATCACAAGATAATGTAGAGGGAGACAAGCACCAATACTTATAAGTATAGATAAACTATTCAACAAAATGCTTATGAGAAGAAAACCCTTTACGTATAACTATCCGAGTAAGGGCCAAGCAGTTAGAGGAGAAGAATATGTGGGTTGCGATTGCATGGACCTCGAAGGTGAGGTGGTGGGACCTAGATTGGGCCCAACGAAGGAGAGGCAACGACGAGGATGGGATTGAAGATGGCTGTGGATTGAAGGAGGAGGAAGAAGAGCATGACAGTGGGCAGCTAATATTGATCATGACCCCCGCCTATTTGGTTTCAGAATCAAAGCCCTCTTCCTTCTTAAAGCAGTCAACCATTGTTTCGCCCTCCTCCTTAGAGTTCGACCATCGAGCTCAACCTTCGAGCAGTCTGTAATGCATTTCATGATTTTTTTTTGAGTAAAGGAACGTCAGCAAAATGTTATATAATGTATTTTATAATTTTTGAGCAAATGAATATTTTTTTAGCTATTTCCTCTATTCCTCCTCCTCTTTCCATTGCTACATGAAAAACTTAACAACAAACACATAAGCATAATAACCAACACATAAGCTTAACAACTAACGAAAAAACTTAACAACTAATGCATAAGCTTAACAACTAATGCATAAGCTTAACAACCAATGAAAAACCTTAATAACAAATGCATAAGCTTAACAACCAATAAAAAACCATAACCAACGCATAAACTTAA